TGCAGTTTGATTCCCATTCAGGGATCAATCCCCAGTTAGGGGCGTGCAGGAGGCAGCTGATCAATGGCTCTCTCATCATTGATGTTTCTATCTCTCTCTCTCTCCCTTCCTCTCTCTGAAATCAATAAAGATATATAAAAAAAAGTATTAAAAAAAAGAATGGTCTGAAGTTAAAACTTTTTAAACATAAGCAGTTTATGGTTGGTAGTCAAGTCCTAAGGTAGTTTTGTCCTAACAAAGTTTAATTTTCACCTTAACTAAGCTTAACTAAGCCTCTCAAAGGTTGTCTTTTGCAGCTGAGATAACATACCTGATTAACACATGCTTTTGCAAAACAAGTAACTTCCCCTTTTTTCTGGGCCCTCTAGGCACCAGGGCCGGACCAGGAATCTTCTCATTGTTATTGATATCTTGACTGTTAAATAGCCTGCACCCACTTATGTAAAATAAGTGTGTGTCTACCGTTTTACTTTTCATCCAGTCCCAGAGGTTTCCCACTTTGCTTTCTCCCGCCTCCCTCATCTATCACCACTGGGTTTCATTTAGCCTCCTTGCATCTTCTCCTTTGATTGTATTCTATTCGGAGCATTATCTCAATCTGTTGAGATTCTGCTTCCAGGCAATTTTCATCAGTTTGGCTCAAATAAACTCACAAAAGTTCTTCACAGTTTGAATGTTTCTTATGTTATTAACCTCATGACCAGCAGTAAGCTAGGGGAGGATAGATCACCCTGGAGACAAGGTTCTTGTTTTCTCAGTTTTGCCCCTTGCTAGGCATCTGGGGCTTCCTGCCCTGCTGAGTCTCCATTCCCCGGTTTCTCTCCCTGACCCATCTAACAGGGTCCTGGGGTTACCAGGAAACCCCAGTAGGGTTTGGGCTGCCTGTCACTATATCCAACTCAACGGAGGCAGGCTTGAATCATATAAGGTGTTTATTGAGAAGACCAGCCAACCAAGAAGACAGGGAAATATGAGCATCCAAAACCTGTCTTAAGGAGTGGCCTGAGGAATAGTAATATATAGGGAAATGGGGTAAACTGAGGCTGGCAACAGAATGCAGCTATTGTGCAGCCCCGGAGGTCCACAGATGTTAGCTGTGGTTCTTGGTCATCTGGTGATGTCTCTCTCTCTCTCTCTCTCTTCTTTTTTTAAAGACTTCTTATTTTATTATATCTTTATTGATTTTAGAGAGAGGAAGGGAGAGGGAGAGAGTTGAAACATTAATGATGAGAGAGTCATTGATTGGCTGTGAGCCCACAACCCAGGCATGCGCCCTGACCGGGAATCAAACCTCAATCTCCTGGATCCTAGGTCGATGCTCAACTGCTGAGCCATGCCCGGCTGGACTCTCTCTCTCTCTCTCTCTCTCTCTCTCTCTCTTTAAAGATATCTTTATTGATTTCAGAGAGAGGAAGGGAGAGGGAGAGAGAGAAATAGAAACATCAATGATGAGAGAGCCATTGATCGGCTGCCTCCTGCACGCCCCCAACTGGGGATTGAGCCCTCAACCTGGTCATGCGCCCTGACCGGGAATCAAACCCAAATCTCCTTGATCCTAGATTGATGCTCAACAGCTGAGCTATGCCTGGCAGGGCTGGCGATGTCTCTATAAGTTGATATCTTGACTCCTGGTTGGGTCGGCCTGACCATGCCTGTTGAAGGATACACTGCCCACTGCTGCATCACCTCCTTAATTGCTTCTTCTGTGATCAAGGGAAGTGTACAGGTGCAAAGGCACTGGAAGAAGAAACTTAAACCTCTGTTTACATGAGTATATGTGTTCTATAATTTATAAGTAATATAATCATATTTCAGGTTAATTCAGGTGCTCAATCTTTGGAAATTTTAAGTGCCCCTATCCCTGGCAGGAGACATGAATTGGGGAAAGGAATCAGCAGGAGAGTGTGAGGAAGGAGGACCGAGGGTGGAGGTGGGTAGGGTCCTGGGAGCCAAGGTAAAACCGGACAGCAGTGGGTCAGGGCTGCCTGTCACCACTTGAGCCAATTAAGCAGAGACAAGGTTGAATCGTATATGAGCATTTATTCCAATATTGCCGCAATATGGGAGCACAGTAATGGTCATCCAAGAAAATCTGCTCTGCCTGCTCCCCCCTTCCCCCCATATGCCAGTTGCTTATATTGGGTAGAAGGACAAAGATCACATGGGAAAGTAGAAATTACTGGCATGGGAAGTAGGCAAGGTGGGCTGGGGGTTGCAATAGGCAGGTGCCTCTGGGATTCCATTGTTTTGGGAACAAGGTTCTTAATCTTTCCATGATGACGGGCAGTTCTCGGAAGAGGGGAAAGGATGGAATTCCAAGGGTAATTCTCATGTCCTGGGGCATACAACTCCCAGCCAGGTTAGAAAGTGTTTTTTCTAATTCAAACAGAACACAATATTTCTTTTTTTTTTAAAAAAAATGTATCTTTATTGATTTCAGAGAGAGGAAAGGAGAGGGAGAGAGAGAGAGATAGAAACATCAGTGATGAGAGAGTCATTGATCGGCTGCAGCCCACAACCCGGGCATGTGCCCTGACCGGGAATCGAACCCTGATCGCTTGGATCCTAGGTCGACGCTTAACTGCTGAGCCACGCTCGTCCGGGCAATATTTCTTATAACTATAAAAGGAGAAAATGAAGGAGGAGGAAGGTATCAAAGCCTCTCTTAGTTCCCTATTGCTGCTGTAACAAATGACCATAAACTTGGTGGGTTAAAACAACAGACATTTATTAATTTACAGTTCTGGAGGGCTGAAGTCTGAAGTGAGTCAATGAGCTAAAACCAAGGTGTCAGCAGGGCTTGTTCCTCCTGGAGGCTCCAGGGGAGAATCTGTTCCCCGGCCTTTTCCAGCTTCTGGAGGCATCTGCACTCCTTGGCTTGTGGCCGCTTCTTCCCCCTAAAAAAGCACACACTGCAACTTGTGTCTGTTGTCATGTATCTCCCTTCTCCCTTGGCTTCCATTGTCACGTTGTCTCCCTGGGCTCTGGCTCTCCACCCTCCCTTTTACAGGGACCCTGAGATGGCCTAGGGCCTGCCCTGATTATCAGGATACTGCCCCCATCTCCAGAGCCTTAACTTAGTATCATCTGCAAAGTCTTGGTTCTGTGGGGAGGGAGGGCATTTGTTCCACAAGCAAAATAGTCACCCCATCCCAAGGTCATCCAAAGTCCCAACTCAATACAGCATCAACTCAAGTAGAAATCTCATCCAACTCTCCAGCTTAGAAATCTCAAATCTCATCATAGAAATCACCAAAATTAGGTATGGATGCGGTTTTAGTTAAGTAGGAGACCGGGTAGGAATAAAACAGTGTGGGCACTGGACGTCGCTAAGGGGAGGGGGCCCCGAACTCCCATGTCAAAGGCTGTCGTGGCCGGGCACAGAGCCTGGTCCGCCTCCTGCAGACCCTTGCCCGGGACTGCAAGGGCCCCAACTCCATCAGCACAGGGCGCCGCTCATCACAAAACCCGTGACTCCAGTCTCCCAGCGCCCATGCTACAGATGGACAAGTCGAGGCGCACAGTACCCCCGCGGCAAGGCCATTGAGATCCATCCCTGGGAACCCACTTTCATCTGCACCCCACAGCTTTCTGAGGAGCCACCGAGGCACGAGTCCTCCGGGATGCCTAGAGCGTCCAGGAAGTGATGGGGTGGCGGATGGGGAGAGGGCCGGCGGAGGGCGGAGCGCGGCACTT